TCCCTTCAAGGCTCAGGGGTCCAAGATTATCTTCTGTGTCTGTGTTAATTGGTTTCCCTTTTCTTTGTTGAAGAGGGTCTGTGCAGTCCTTCTGCCTAGTCCGCCATCTTGCTGGAACACTCATTTGGAAAATTTTTGATGAAGGGAACATCAACTTTTGGTGGAATATCTGCAGTTCAAACCCACCAACCACTCCTTGGAAGTAAGGTTGGGCAATCTACTTCCATAGTTATACTGCCTCAGAAACCCAAGGAGGGGGTCGCTATGAGTTGAGTCCGACTTGACAGCACATAACAACAACAACAACACACTTATACATGCTCCTTTTCTTTTAGCTGGATTAAAAGGCATCAGATAGCACTTCATAAAATAGCATGCTTCACTTCTAGTATAGAATGAAGAACTCCTTGCATCATGCTGAATACATAGTATTGTCTCAGTGAAGTAGAGTAACATGGGGTACTCCATCTAAAAGTATTGTACTATCAAACTTCTAAACTAAGTATGGCTCTTAATAGTATTTCCAAAGGTGCTAATATTTTGATTGATTAAAAAAAAGATTTCCTTTACAAATTTGCTAGTTTTAAATTCAGTATATCTATCAAACGGGCTTAGAGTGAGGAAGACATAATGTTAACAATTATTAATGCCTGTTCTTAATGCTAATTCTTTTTCCTTCTCTTAACAAGAAAGTGACTACTGTAAAAGCAAGGTGACTCTAACTGTGTATGTGGAAATGATAATAGTCTATTCTTTCCAACAAAAGATTGGAATAAAACAGGTTCTTGATTGAAATATGACCAGAAGAACTTGTTTGAAAAGTCTACTCAGTGCTCCAGCAAAAAATGAGAGAGAACATATCTCTTGCTTGCAGAAAATTCCATGTGTTAGGTGGGTCTTGAGGACTCTCACCAAGCAGATGCCTTCTTACCTTTTAGCTTGTGTAACTGTTATGCATATGTCCATGCTTCAAGGAAGGGTCCAGGTTTAGTCTGCTACTGCTAAATTTAACTCTTGTGATTTTGTAAGTGGAGATAGAATCTATAACAACATTAGGTAAATAAGTAGACAATCTGTCAGGACTTTAAATTTGTTTAATTAATAGGAATGTTATATAAAGATACTATTTTTTCCTTTATAAAACTTTTTAATTATTAAAAAAGGTATATAAAATATATGTGAAATATATATGAAAGTAGAGATGAGAGTGTACTGAACCTCTGTTTATTCTGTCATCCAGTTTTAATAGTTATCAACTTATGGCCAGCTTTTTCCCATGTATAGTCTGATTTGCTAAGGTATCTGTCCCACTCAGATATTTTAAAGCAAAACCTAGACATCACATCATTTCAGATATAAAGAATAGAATATGTACCTCTAAAACATAGGGGTGCTTTTCCCTTTGTAATTATTATTTTATTATAATCAATCCTTAATTATTTAGAGTTTGAAGAGATTCAGAAAGGTTTTTGATCTGTCTTGTGGGTTTTTTTGACTTGGTTGTACATGTAGGCCAAGATGAGTTAGGTGGGAGTCCCACTAGAATAGATGAGTTCTGGGAGATAAAGAAGAGTTGTGGGAGACAGTCAGAGGCAGGATTAAAATGAAGTCATGAACTACAGTGGTTTTTGAGAAGGAGCAAATTGTTATAGCCTGGAAGACAAGATCACATATTAACTCTGAGGGATCAAATAAGGACACAGAGAAAAAGAGTAATGAAATTATAATGGGAAACTAGAAACAAAATAGGAGGAAATGTAATATACAAGTCAAGATTAACTGTTCAAAATTAAGGTAGATAACAGGATATATGCTGAAAACCCAAGTGATGTAAGGCATGACCTTGCTGGACTGAAGGATTAGGACATAGATGCTTGTCTTTTGACCTTTTACTGCTTGCTAAGCCTTGTACTGAAGATTGGCAGAGGGAACAGGAGAAACTCATAGTTACCAAGTTATCTATTTGCTAGTAGTTTTAATAAATTTAATGAGGAAGAGGTTTAAATAATTGGATGAAATAATTTTTTTTGTGTGTAAAATGTTCTTCATGTTTTATATTATTCTAGCCCTTCAGTTTCACAAATTTTAGGACGTGAACATAGTAGTTACCAAGGGAAGAATGCCTAACGTACCGTGAAGCTAATTCATTTGTGTTAACTATTCTGACATATTAGGTTGCTAATAAGAAAAGAAAGGACAAAGAAGGGACAAAGGAAGATGTCCATTTGCCTGAATTGAATTATAATCATCTCCCTGAACTAAGAGCCTTGGAAGGCATTGGTATGTTTATAATGCTTTTACTTTTTCTAGCCTTTTTGTTTATATTACTTAACATTTACACTAAATAAGCTAACAGAATATTAAAATTTATTTAGTAACTTTACATGTTTAAATATGTAAATATGTACATATATGTATAAGTATATACTGAGAAACAGATACCGAATGTGAAAAACTAACACAGATGTCTAATTTTTTCCTGTGTGTTTATGATCATTTTTATCTAGCTCGAAAATCCAGGCTCATAAGGAAAAAAAACAAAATTCTTTCAGAATCTCGAATTCCATCTCTGGCTGCTATTGACCTCCACACCCCTAGTGTTGCATTACATCAGGTACAGAAATACTTTTTGTAGATTGGGTGGAACTCTCTGGTCTTTCTCATACTTCCTATTAAATTATTCTAGGGAAAGAATAATTTGTCCTGAAGGGTTGGATGCATTTATTGGTGGGGATTTATAAAATTTTGCTTTATTGTTCACTGCACTTAGTACCTTTATTACATATATCTTTATATGAACATTTCCAAACTTACAGAAATCATTTTTTTGTAGGTTTAAAAGTGTATGGGGGAGTATGTCTGTAACCTTGCTAAGGCCTTTATATTAGTACAGATTTAGTGATAGTTTGTAGTATTTCACTGCATTAACCCTAGAGCTATAATCTTTCTTCAATTTATTCTTTAAAAATATTTATAGTCTATTTGAACTTTTTTTTCCCAAGACAATCCATTTCATCCATGTTAATCATTTGTTGTTCCACATAATCATCTTTTCTATAATTTCTCTCTTCAGAATATTATATACATTTCTGCTACTTTTATATCAACAACAGCCATAGCATCACTTTAAAAAAATTCTTTGCTGTAATTTGGGTGAAAGTTTACAGAGCAAATTGGTTTTCTATTCAACAAGCCATGCACATTTTGTTTTGTGACATTCACTGTAATCCCTGCAGTGTAAAAGCACTCTTCCCACTTGCTCCCTGTGTTTACAATTTCACTTTGTCTTTTCCATTCCCTTCCTACCCTCTGAGCTTTATTTCTGGGTAAATGCTGCCTCTGGATCTCAATGATTGATTGTTGTAATGAATACATAGTCTTCCAGTATTATTGTCTACCTTATAGGATTGTATGTCTTTTGGCTGAAAGTTGAGCCACAGAGGTTGAGTTCAGTTCCTGGCTTGAAGGGGGTTCCACCAGTCTTCATCAGACCAGTAAGCCTGGTCTTTTTTATGATTTTGAATTTTGTTCCACATTTTTCTTCTATTCTATCCAGGACTTCCTATTGTGATCCCTTTCAGAGCAATCAGCAGCAGTAGCTGGGCACCGTCTATTTTGGTCTCAGGGTCATGGAGGCCGTGGTTTGCATGGCCCATTAGTCCTTTAGATTAATTGTTTGCTTGCATCTTTGATTGTCTTCACTCTTCTTTGATCTGGATGGTGAAAATAGTTGCACCTTAGATGGCTGCTCACAAAGTTTTAAGGCCCCTGTCACTACTCGCCAAAGTAGGATGTAGAACACTGTCTTTGTGTGCACTGTTAAGCCAATTGAATTTAGTCTTTCCTGAGACTATGGCCCTGAGCCCTCATGCCCAGTGATACATTCCCTCTCATATCACTCACATTTACATTAAGAAATTCTGCATATTTTTAAAATCTCTTGAGCCTTCCACAACTAGCTACAAACTTCTTATAGGTCACAGTACTTTCCCTTTAGTTCTTCAAAAAGATTTCTCACCTTTGGTTGAAGCTAAGCAACATTTGTTTTAAAATTTAATTTTCCATCATTATTATAACATTTCCACTTCATAAAGAGGATCTGTTGTCTCCTTATCCATGTGTATGCTTTTTCTACTGTTACTCTTTCATAGTTTTGTAGAGTTCTACAAGCAAGCTGAATAGTATTCTTGAAGATAACAAATTACAGCAGCAGTTACCTAGAGATGCAGAGGAAAGGATTTATTGACCTCTATTAACTTTGCTTTATCTCTTGTCAACAAATTCTGCAGTAACATTTAATCAAAACTGACCAAACTACTATTATGTAAAGATGTCACAAATCCCACATTTAGGAACTAGAGTCTTGATAAATTCCTTGTATACTTCTAAATCTAAATTAAATAGGGATTTTAGAGGCATAGAATTTTTTATTTGGTCTTTTGTGAGTGCACTATTATTCAAAACAATTTTCAGGGTTGAAATAAAGCTTCAATATTTTATTTGCTGTTTTAAGGTAATCATTTTATACTTATAAACTAGTGTTGCATTTTACTCTCGATTTACTTGTTCAATTTCCAGTTGCATGTAAAATATAATAAAAGAGAAAGTAGGTGTAGTAAATACCACAAATTACCATTCTTGATTGTTTGATAGAAATCTCTAGTGAAGCCATGTGTCTCAGGAGTTTTATTTTGGGGAAAGATTTGGATAATAAGTTTAATTTCTTTAATAGACAGAGTGCTATTCAGATTTTTGTTTCTCCTTATGTCTGTTTTGGTAAGTTGTATTTTTGAAGAAATTTGCCCAATTTTATGTCAGCATAAAATTGCTTCTAGTATTTTCTTATTATCCTTTTAATGTCTGTTGTTGTTGTTGTTATGTGCCGTCGAGTTGGCCTCGACTCATAGCGACCCCTCCTTGGGTTTCCGAGGCAGTATCACTACGGAAGTAGGATTGCCCAACCTTTCTTCCGAGGAGTGGCTGGTGGGTTTGAACCGTCAGCTTTCTGGTTAGCAGTCAAGTGCTTTTAGCTACTATGCTACCAGAGCTCCTAATGTCTGTAGGACTATTAAATGTCTGTAGTGATATCGGTGATTACTTACTTGTTTTTATTATATTGTGTTCACTCTTTTTTTTTCCCCTGTGGGTTTGTCAATTTTGTTGATTTTTTTTCAATAAACTGAATTTTAGCATTGTTAATATTCTCTATTGTATATTTTATTGATTTTGGATCTTATATTTCTTAGTTTTGTCCTTTTGTTATTTTGCACTTATTCTGCTCTATCTTTCCAGTTTCTTAAGAGAACCCATCTCCTGGTCACTGATTTTTAGGTCATTTTTCTTTTCTACTGTAAATAAGTAAAGCTGCATATTTTCCTCTAAGCACTGCTTTAGCTGCATCCAACAAGTTTTGATATGCTGTATTTTCATTATCATTTAGTCCAATCATTTTCTTATTTACCCTGAAACTTCCAATTTGACCATGGGTTATTTAGTAGTGTGTTAACAGTCAGATATTTGAGATTTCCTACATCATTTGTCAAAAATGAAATGGAATGCATAAAGATCAATATCCTAGGCATTAGTGAGCTGCAGTCAACTGTTTTGGCCACTTTGAATGAGAGAATCATATGATTTACCATCCCAGGAATGACAAATGAAAAAGAATAGTGTGGCATTCTTAGTCACGAAGAATATTTCAAGATCCACCCTGCAGTACAATGCTGTCAGTCATAGGATAATATCCGTATGCCTACAAGAAGACCAGTTACTATTACTATAATTCAAATTTACACACTGACAACCAAAGCCAAAGATGAAGAAATTAAAGATTTTTTACCAACTTTTGCAGTCTAAAATCGACCAAACATGTAATCAAGATGTATTGATTATTGCTGGTGATTGGAATGTGAAAGTTGGAAACAAAGAAGAATCATTGGTAGTTGAAAAATATGTTCTTGGTGATAGAAATGATGCCAGAGATCACATGATAGAATTTTGCAAGACCAACAACTTATTCATTGCAAATACCTTTCTCCTACAACATAAATGGTGGCTATACATGTGAACCTTGCCAAATGGAATCTACAGGAATCAGATCGACTACATCTCTGGAAGGGGGCAATGGAGAAGCTCAATATCTTCAGCCAAAACAAGGACAGGAGCTGACTATGAAACAGATCATCAATTACTCATATGCCAGTTCCAGGCTGAAGACAATTAAAGTGAGTCCACAAGAGCCAAACTATGACCTTGATTATATCCCACCTGAATTTAGAGACCATCTGAAGAACAGATTTGGTGCATTGAACACCACGGACCAAAAGCCAGAGGAATTGTGGGATGACATTAAGAACATCATACATGAAGATGGCAAAAGGTCATTATAAAGACAGGAAAGGAAAAAGAGACCAAAATGGATGTCAGAAGAAACTCTGAAACTTGCTCTTGAACAGATAGTAGCTACAACAAATGGAAGTTATGACAAGATGAAAGAGCTGAACAGAAGATTTCAAAGAGCAGCTGGAGAAGACAAAGTCAATTATTATCATGAAATGTACAAAGACCTGGGGTTAGAAAACCAAAAGGAAGAACATGCTTGGCAATTCTCAAGCTGAAAGAACTGAAGAAAAAATTCAAGCCTCAAGTGTCAATATTGGAAGATTCTATGGGCAAAATATTGAACGATACAAGAAACATCAAAAGAAGAGGAAGGAATACACAGAGTTACTATGCAAAAAAGAATTGGTTGATGTTCATCTATTTCAGGAGGTGGCATATGATCAAGAACCAATGGTATTGAGGAAAAAGTTGAAGCTGCACTGAAGGAATAGGTGAAAAACGAGGCTCCAGAAATTGACTGGAATACCCATTGAGATGTTTTTGAATAAGAATTCAAAATAACTTATTGAAATTATTGAATTAGAATAGCCATTGAGATGTTTCGACAAATGGATGCCACATTGGAGGCATTTACTCATCTAAGCTAAGAATTTGGAAGACAGATATCTGGACAAGTGACTGGAAGAGATTCATATTTGTACTCATTCCAAAGAAAGGTGATCCAACAGAATGTGGAAATTATTGAACAACATCATTAATATCACATGCAAGTAAAATCTTGCTGAAGATAATTCACAAATGGTTGCAGCAGTATATTGACAGGGAACTTCCAGAAATGCAAGCTGGATTCAGAAGAGGACATGAGATGAAGGGTGTCATTGCTAATGTCAGGTGGATCTTGGCTGAAAGCAAAGGATACCAGAAAGATGTTTACTTGTGTTTTACTGACTGTGCAAAAGCATTTAACTGTGTGGATCATAACAAATTTTGGATAACATTGCAAATAATAGGAATTTCAGAAGGCTTAACTGTGTTCATGAGGAACCTGTACATAGACCAAGAAGCTGTCATGGCAGCAGAACAAGGGGATACTGCATGGTTTAAAATCAGAAAAGGTGTGCATCAGGATTGTATCCTTTCACTGCGCTTATTCAATCTATATGCTGAGCAAATAATCTGAGAAACTGGACTATATGAAGAACAAAGAGGCACACCAGGATTGGAGGAAGACTCATTAACAGCCTGTGATATGTAGATTATACAACCCTGCTTGCTGAAAGTGAAGATGACTTG